TGGCTGAAAAACCTAAAAAGACGTTTAGGAAATTTTTTACACTTGTTGACTCCAATTTTCACTACAAATGGTGTTTTCAAAGAATGCACTGAAATCTTGCCATTGTGGTGTGATACTTGGTATTTTCGTATTTAGATCCAAATACTGCGACACAAACTCGAAATACTTCTACGAAAGGAGGCCAAATATTTCATGCTAAACCAATGGATTAACAGAAATTCAGTTGCTAACTTTCTTTCGATTGGCCCTTATTTTACAAATGTCAAGAGTCAATGCTCCATATTATCATTGTTTGGGGTTGCCTAAAAATGCTGCTTTTACAATTCCGGTGGTGTATGACGGCAGGTCCGAATAATTGTCGTGCGACATATCTAAGGTGAAACTTTAGGCCAGAGTGGCAACGCCGTTACCCCTAGCACATTTTTACCAAAAAAATTCAGCCTTACAAGCGAAGGGATGATGTTAAACGATCATCCAATTAGCAGCAATTATCCACCAGTGTTTGGTGCCTTACAAACAAAATTGTCCACTTGATTCCGTCATTGATTCCAACTAAATGATAAGGCAAATCAGGGACAACACCCAGAAGGAAAAAGCGACTCCATAATTGAGCATATTTAAATCTTGGACTCCTGTGTAATGAGTTTTCATCATTTAACCAATTGACTTAAAGCTATGAAGGTAGTCCTATGGAAGACTACATCGCGCAAATAAGCATCCCAATGGCCCATTTGTGTTCAACATATTTCATTCTGTAAAAGCACAATTTGGCACAATCATTAGGCTTTTTGTTACGTGAGTGCAAACTTGTTAATACTTGCCAGGTAAAATCCGGGTGATTCTGCATGAGCGCTTTGACTTAAATCCCCCTAATGATAACCGTCATCACAAGTAAAGTCCGTTTTTAGTGGGTGAAATAATTTCCGCATAACATAAACGTTCTTTGTTGCTGTTGTTGCAGGATAATTACAAGTTTTGAACTTTCACAACACTTAGGAATGATCGCCATCAATTCCACATTGCTACAGCGAATTCACGAGGACATCTAAATAGTACATCTAACGCATGCACCAATCAGGAGGCTTACTTTGTTTGATCAGAAATTAAGCATGCGTTGTGACATGGGTCGCCAGTTATTCTTAGTACAGATTAACCATGGTCCAAGACCCAACCTGAGTTGACGTTTTTGTGGTCGTGGTGCACACCATTGCAAGGCTTATTTAGCTAATTTATTTTTCAAAAAAAACAATTTTGTCCAGTAAAATTTTGCAGAATTCTAAAAGTCGCCACTGAGCGAAAAATGTTTGTATATTATGCTTTTAAACGAGAAAATTGCTGGCGCGTGCACTGACGTGAAGCAGCACTGTTGAGCAACGTTTAATTTTACAAAATGCATCTTATCCCATCTTGCAGACTTTCATTTTTTACCTGATAAACACCAATCTCAGGCTATTTAGTGGAGTGGTGCCACAAAATCATGCTAAATTTGCCTTCCAGTCAAGAGTCGTCTCTCTTTTTAGAAGTGGCACACGTGTGTAGCTACTAAAAGCATTAATTTATCAAAATTTCGCTGAAAGTTTTAGTTGAATTAAAAATTTTGTCGACACCAAGCAGACAATCAAAAGGCAAACATTTTGGAGGTTTTATCTAATCCTAGAAAACTCGCCATCTGGGAGGTCAGATGACGGGTTCTTGCGTGCAGAAATGCTGAACAAAAATCATGTTAGTCACATTACTGAAGTAACTAAAGTTTAAATCGGTCCAACAATTAATTGAGAAGCATCGTCAATAGAAAAAAAACTTGTTTAAATGGGTTGATACAAATGGCCAAAATTTAATTATCACAGTTAAATTGAAATTCATGCCTCATGGAAATGTGACGGCAACCTACTAAGTAGTGTGTGTATGCATATATGGTGGATGGAGTTGACCTCAGATACAAAGTCTGAAAGAGGTTCAATTTATACTTTTAAAAACAAAAGATGTTGTAAATCGCTTAGGATTTCGGCTCCGAACCACACGAATAATTTTTTCTCGATAATCATCGCTGTTTGGTTTGTATTTTTTGAAACAATTTAAAGAAATGAAAATATACTCAGGGATTTGCAACTTTCAATTAAAAAATCAATTTTTATCTAAAAAAGCGCATTTTACGCGAAACCAATACCATCCTACTTTGTGTTTTGTTCAATTAAATGCAAAATTGAGCAGTGTGGCGAACTACTACTTTTGACGGTATTGTCAACCGCAAGAATCCTACGTTCACAGTGGATGTGATTTCAATCAACACTAAGAAAGCAGCACCACTAAAGACCGCATTTACGGCTTTCAAAAATTATTTCCTTTTGTTTTGAGGCGATGAAAAAGGCATTAAATAATTAATGTGTTGCATTTTAAGGGAATAATTAATGTTACTGGAATAAATTTCCACTGAAGAAATCGCGTCTGAGGGGAACCGCAGACATCCCCTCACAGTGGCAACGAAGTAATTGGGGCTAACTCAAATGGCATCGTCAGAATCTACAAATTCCGTGACTCAAAATTGTCTAGCTTCATAAGGTTCGTCGTGTGCAAAATTCACGAAAAAGTGGGTCTGTTTAACCAACCTTCTAATTTTTAGCAACCCATGGCGGTCTTCTCTGCTATTTACTCTCAAATTACTGTCTTGTTCAAACTAAAAAGGTAGAACTCATTGCCAAATTGCTCAGAAGGACCATGTGACTTGCAAGGTCTTTCTGCTGCAGGCATAAATTTGTCCCAGCCCTCCCAACTCACGCGTATCACTCTCGTGACTCCATGACCTAGAACTATTACGCTTTCAAGACGAGAAGAGGAGGCTAATTGCGTCGACAGACTAAGCAGGAAATCCATTATTAGTTAAAATGACTCAAGGCCAAAGTCTAGGATACGTATATAATAAAAACTTCATTCCAATTGCCATTATCTTAATCCCGTGTTGTGGATTGTTTGCGCTGTACTTAAGACGCTTAGCTATCACAATCAGAACTGACGCCTGATTTAGGAAAACATTCTTCAGACAGTGGTTGGATTGCCACTCAAATTCATGCCTCCTCTAGCTGATATTGTGGCAGGTTATTTTAACTACAATAAAGAGAGCCAAAGATAGAGAATGAAGAATGCAGCTTTGAAAATTTTGATCTGTACACTAACACAACTACCGTGACATCACGCGATCTTGTTTGATTTGATTCCTTCATTGCAGGAGACCAGGAATCCAAAATGCCTAATCAGAATGAAGATAATCAGTCCACTGAATTTGACTTGCTGTTGTAAAATTTACCTAGTTGTGTAAGGTCAGATCACCAGATAGAATTTAATTCTGGTAATTTTTTTTAAATATTGGTTTCTTTGGCTGTGCTTTTGACTCCTAATCACGCATTTACCACACCTGTTTCGCAATTCGAAGGGAGTTCAGCTGTCCGCCCATACTAGAAACACCGAATATTTTGTTTTTTTGTTAGCATATTGCATAATTTGGTAGCTTTTGAAAAAAAAACATTGAGATTCGTCATAAATTTGGGGTGCTGTTAATTCCAAATCACGACTTTACAATTAGACCTGGTCCCATGTAACTTATCTCTTCTATGGCCACTCAAATAGACAAGCGTGGGTATATTTACTCCCATGACGTAGTGTTGACAGTTCTGGCAGAATTCTACAACAACTACCGTTTTAAATTGGTTGATTTACAATGCTGTCCACCGTTGATAAAGGTGAAAGTTACATTAATTTTCAATTATTCGTAAGACATCCTTTGGTTTTGGCGTTTCAATGATTAAGCGTGTTGCCAAGGCGGCATCGTGTTGCATAATAGATAAGGTCTTGGTGACTGAAGTGGAAATTTCTTGCCATATATACATCATGACATCAACAAAAAACGACTTGGTGTTTATCTGGTGAAAAATAATTGCCAACAATTCACCGGTTGAGACATTTACTTGGCAATTTGAATTTAATGTTATTGGTCAACCTCAAGCCAAATTTAACGATTCAACAACTCGTGAATGTGGCGAAAACTGAATGACCGAAAGTACTAAAACTGATAATCCATGTTTTGTAAACTTTAGCTTCCGCATCTTATCCCATACCATCGATAGTGAACTACTAGCTAAAATATCTGACTTGCTGATTACAGGACATGACTTTTAAACTGCTTCTGGAATTAAATATAACCCCTGGGAATTTCAGCAATTAAAATCCATACTTGGCAGCTGTTTTAGAGAGCGACGATGTTGATGATAGTGATTCGATAAAGGTTTCTGGGCATTATTTTAAATAAACTTAATGACTATCATTTGGTAATCATGCCCAACAGATACCAGGATTAAATTTTAAAACTAATTATTCCACTTTCGAAAGCAAGACATTAAAGCTTGTCAGAGAACCGCGTTTTTAACGGTCTCAGTATTTAATTATTTTCAATAAAAAAGTAATTTCGACTCATAAAATTGCCGTACCGTTTTTTCCTTCAAGTGAAAACGGATGTGGTTGTAATCGCCAACAGACCACGAATGCTGTGCAAGCATTCACGGTGGTGATACTACGATTCCTTCTACATGCAATTTGCAAGCTATTTGCTTCATGTTACACGTTTTCGTGTACTTTGTTTTGTGGGAAGCACGCCTTTTGCAGGAATTTCAACCAGGGTGAGAGAGGCTAGCATAAACTAACAGATTTATAAAAGCTTCTGCGCCCAAAACCTACAAAGGCCATTCTTCAGCGCGTTCGCGCATGAAAACAGTCTCATTTTGACGACTTACTCGAATTCCCCCGGAACACACTTCAGTTGCCAACGTGGCTGGCCTAGCACAAACCCAGCAATCCTCGAAGAAACGGATAACCACCCAAACCCCAACTGCGAATTGACCAATCACACGCAATGCAACTTAATCTGCGTAATTCGTAACAGTATCTTCATCCCATTGGTTATCACTCCGCAGAGGTGTTAATGTCGCCTCCTCGAGTGCTTCATTTGGACGATGGGCCAGCGTCGGTGTGGTGAAAAGTGCTGCTGTGGCCATCGTCAGGCGGACGAGAGCGACGCAGAATCCGACGACGCCTCACACCCCAGACGACGGTATGTGTGTCTGCGTAAATTTCTCGCCATCACTTGCTCCCAGCTTGGCCTCCTTGTTTTCATAATTGCCTACCTAATTGGCGGTTGCTTCCTGTTCACGTTTCTTGAGCGCGAAAATCAACAGTTGCTTCTAAGTGAAGGCGTGTCTGGGATAAAGGACGCCTATGAAGAGCTGAAGGGAGAAGTCAGTCGGCCAACTCGATCTGTGGACGGTGATTCACCGTCGGCGGCACACGCTATTGGACTTCAGTGCGTTGACATGCAGGTGAATGTTTTACTGGAAGAAGTTCAACGCCTTCAGCGTCGCCTGAATAATGAGGAGTTGCGAGTGCGTGCAGATGAACTGAGTCAGCTGAAACAAGAGGTCACGAATCTTGCCATTTTGAATGAAGAGGAGGCCTTGGGTCAAAGACTCTCTGATTCCTTGCAGATTAACCTAACTGCCCAGATTGAATCATTTAGAAAGTACACTATGAATGCAAGCCGCAAAACACCCGACGAGGAGTCGAAACAACTGTTTAACTCGTTTGTTCGTTCAGTCTATGAGGCCGTCAGAGTTGGCTGGGTCCCACCTCCCCTCACAGAGACGACCGTCGACTCCCCAACTCGCAGCTCCATGCAACCAAGAACATCTTCTCCTCCACAGAATCCGGTACAGCACGAATCAATCCTGAAAATGCGCGTGCCCCGAACCGATCCGTGGTCGCCGAGTGGGTCGCTGTTTTACGTCATAACAGTAATAACCACAATCGGTGAGTTGTTCGTTTTCACTGCTTTAACCGCTTTGTCAAGTAAAAGTGGGCCTTCTGGTAGTGCACACAGATTGCCTTTTCTTGGAAAATTATCTCATGGCAAGGAAATCTGGGTCTTCTTGATCCCAGGAGTCGGTGACCTCTTTGCAGGATAAAGATTAAACGAAGGACAACGGGTTATATGCTGTAGTGGGTGCAACTCGTGTACGAAAAAAATTCACCATAACCATCACCAGTGTCGGGTGTGAATTCTAAGGTCTTCATTGACCAGCGGACTGGGTGTCTTTGCCAGGAGACTGAGAGATGGCTATTTTATTACTGGAAATTCGATCAGCCGTTGTGTATCGTAAATCATAACATGAAAGAGACTTACTGTCGCACGCATAAATTCAATTCCAGTTTTACTTGTGCCGAATTTCCATAGGTATCGTGGGTGTTGCCGCAGATTTTTTAAGGAAAATGCTGCTCCTGAGGGCTGACGGTTTTAAACTAAAAAGAGAAACTGACTCCATAGAAACGCAATTCCAGCTAAACTAATCATTCATGGAGAAATTGTCGTAATACCTAAGTCAATTTCTTATTTTATCCTTTAAAGGGACTGGGTTTGCTTTCTTTAGTCGTAATCTTTCATTTACACTGACCGATTTGTGAAAACAGCGAAAAAGTGTTAGGCGCTTTGCACCCAAATCAGTTAGCTTAATGGACTCACTTAAAGTTGAAAAACAAGTAGGTTTCAAAAGTAATTAGGTTTCAGTCTGAATTACACGTCCGAATAAAAATCGGTTTTCATTATCATTATCACACTAGGAAACCAAGTCGGTGGTCAAGCACTCTTGGTTCGTGAAACATCGAATCAGAAATGTGCCATATGGGTGCGTAGTACCAGTACTATGAATCATTTTCTTCCAGCGGGAGCTACGTAACTAAAAACCCTATTTCTACGTTTCGATTTTGTCCTAAAGTTCCAGAAATCACATTGTATTACTACTTAACATGGTATAAATAGCTTTTGTGGGATCAAAATCAGTCAGGACTTGACTTTAAACAAGCACACGAGACATGGAAGTAGAAGACTGCTATTCTACCGAAGAAAGTTGATCCCCACATTATCTTCTGATGAGGATAACTTGGAATCGAAGAGCCTTACTCATTACTGCATCGTGTTCCGTTTACTGTTTTTTTACAGAAACTAAGATTGATACTTGCTAAATCGACCGTGCTTTCAACCCAGCGAAATACCAAGCGTTGGTAACAGGTCCCCTGCAGCCGAGATCAAGGCGTCCATTAGTTAATGTATTAACTAATTATCCGCTAAGGAGGAATGTGGTGTAATGTGTGTGTGTGTGTGCAACCACATTTGCTTTCGCGTGCACGTCTTAAATCACATGCTTTTTGACCCACTGCCAGTTGAGTTTCAGGCGCAAAGTGATTTACTGGCAAAAGTGTCCAAAAAAGACATTATTGATGAGTGCGTGAACGACTTGGATATGCGAATGTTTGCATATGGATCTTACGCAGTGAATTTGGTCAAACTAATTTACTAATTTTAGCTGTTTTTTGTTTAGGCATATTTCAAACAAACTGAAAAATTCCGCATATTGCAATAGCACCACGACACATATACATTAATGGGGTTTTGTCGTGTGAGGGACTGGCACCGCCCTTGTTCGTTGTTTAAATCGAAAGTTCTAAAGACATTTGAATCTGTCTCGGTCTTTGCAAGGAACATGTGTTAACCCGGACTGGTGGCATTAGTTAAAATCAACACAAGATGAGTTTCTGCTTGGGTAGACTCCAAAAAAACATTTAACAATGTGGTCCAGCTTCCTTGAGTTCACTCACCTTGAGAAAGTGTGCTGGAGCATAGAAATTGCACAGACAAAGTGGTTTGTCGCGATCTGCACGGCCACATCGCGTGAGACCTGGCGATATCCATCTAAATGCGCATTTCAAAGCTCTCGTCTCAAGGACTACGAATGTGGTAAGCTATTTTATGTGTGCAAACCATCAGCTTAGATGGTTTTACGTAAAAAAAAACAATCAACTTGCTAACCTGGCCAAGTCGAGGTAAAAATGGTGGTTTGGGTAGGGAGATCACAGGAAGGGAATAAACGGCGTCGCAAACATTACAAATATTTTCTGCAAATTGCTTTTAAACAGTAGAAATTCAGAGTATAAACACATCGGTTAATAATGATTTTGCCATTTCAGTACATTGAAGTAAAATAAATCTAGATTTGAGTAAACTTGACAACATTACACTTCAATGGAAAATTACCAAGGGGAAGTAGGGTGTACAAACGGAGTATGGGGTCACGAATAAGTACGTACCTTGTAATAAATTGGGATACTTGCCACTCACTAAATGTAATTTTAATAAGTAGGCATCGGATTTTCAGTATTTCTCCTCAGATTCTTGACGTTTCAGTTTCTTCCAATGACAGAATACAAATTATCAAGGCACCAAGTTTTGACAAATAAATTACTTTATATTTCTGCGCACATTAAAATCAGAATGGTGTTCGTTTGTTGTTGGAAGCATCGCTTAGCCGTACGCAGTAAATTTCGGTTATCATTTGAATGTCTAGACACAGGCGTTTGTGTGGTTGAATAACTGAGCTAACCAGAAAATACGGAAGACAGACTGTCTGCTAATGAACCCACAGGCTGGATTTGCAAATCAGGGAATATGAAGCACCGTAACCGAGGGTAAATTTGTGAACAATTCCGATCTACTGACGATTTGAAAACCCGCAAAATTAAGCTGTGCTAACAATGAAAATTTAAATTTTACAGGTGCAAATAGCTTTTAAAATCGTGGTTATTTTGCGGATACTTTGTAGCCTCTTACAATTCACTACCTGTTGAACGTGTCTTTCCTTTCGCATTTTCACTCTTATTGTGCTGCGTGAATTTTTCAAGCCTACGCAATAAACAGGTGTGAGTAGCTGTGTTAAGGAAAAAAAGCAATTTGCTGGAAAGCAATTTAAGTCGATGTACTTGAAAGTATTTTATAAAGAACTCCAGGACAGATTTCAGTTGGAGTTATCGTAAATTGAATAATTAACCACCCAAATGAGCACCACTTCAGCCAGAAATTAAACTTTCACACAAGAAATTAACATGCATTTTAAACAAGAGGAAATCCCTCAGATAGAGAACAAGCACACTGTCAATAAACAAATAATCACATTACTAGAATCCGCCAGACTTCCGTCAATTAAGTTGAAATTGTTTGAAATAACTGTTTGACATAACTTTCTACCTCGTCTAATTTAGCCACGGTATGCTGGGAGGAGTAATAAGGAAATAGCTAAAGTCAGTTTTCAGCATTTGGATGTTTGTTCCGCAGTCTCCATAGCATTTTGCAGCATACATGGCTAATGCTCGTTTGCTTTCATGGAAATGTTGAAAAAAGCGCAAATGGTTTGACCAATTCGCTTACAATGGAGGTGTCTTATAAAGAGGAAAATATGTAACTTGTCTCTTGTCTAAAACCCTTGTTTTTTTTTCTTAAAAAAATTCCTGTGTGCTTTATGGGAAATGTGGCAAGATACGTTTGCAGATTTCCGATTTCTTTTAGCTCTTGACAATTATCGGAATCGCAAATGTTGTCCAAGCTATGCGTGCATCACCATCATGGTCATCAAAAAAGGGGAACCTCAATTATTCTTGATAAGAATTCGCCGCACTTTAGTCTAATCACCTGTTGTACCTGCTAATTCAGTTGTGATAACACGTTTGCTGGCTTGTTTTGGCTCAAACGCACCGAGGCCTTGTTTAGCTTCCGAATCAAAGACAAATTGTAATGCTTTAGAACAAATCTGCACTTGTTAGTTGGTTCACTTCCTTTAGGGTAGATCTGAAACTAAAACCTGCTATTTCTTCCACTAAAACAACATCTAGGAAGCATGCTACCACACATTTAACTCGTCTCAAGAAACTTGGTTTATGTTCTGCGTGTATTATGCGTTTGGTTGATAATACTTGGCCATAATTTCTGGTTACGTTGAGGCTTTCCACAGGGCTCTTCGTGGTCATTCCAATCCCACTGAATTTGATTTTGATAACACGCAAATCAACACCTTCATGATTCCGATGGCAATTTTGTTCAGATCTCATTTAGAATGTCCAAATGTTACCAACTAAAGGACATTCTGGTAGCCAGGATGTTAACAATGCAAGCCTAACCAATAGTTCTACAAGGGATGCCCTCCATAGTTCTGTGTTTTCATTTATGATTGCCGATTTAATTGAAGCATTACTAGTAAATGTAGCCAATGGAGGTAAAGGGAAATTTGGGTTGGTTGGTTCACTTCCTTTAGGGTAGATCTAAAATTAAAACTTGCTATTTCTTCCACTAAAACAACATCTAGGAAGCATGCTACCACACATTTAGCTCGTTTCAAGAAACCTGGTTTATGTTCTGCGTGTATTATGCGTTTGGTTGATAATACTTGCAGAAGGCAGTTTGAAAACACTCATTAAAGGGAGGGAGAATTATTGTCATTGGTAAGAAATGGTGTTGTAGTCACCGCATCTACATTTATAGTGTTTTTTTGCCTTGAGTCGTAAAGGAACTATTAGTGGCCAAAAGAGCTATTCAATTTCCTCAAATATAGCTAGATCTATGTTACTTGTTTTGATCTATATATATGTTTACAAGAAAATTGAGTGGTTTGGCGTATTCAAGTCAGTTAATTGGGGAACATGAAAACAGTCGCATTGTAGACTAGAGAATCATGGACGCACACGTTGACAAGATGCTCGAATGTGTACAATGACTGCGCGGGCTGCACTAGCAGACAAAAGACCGACAAAAATTGGCCAAACTGCCTTTTGTTGGAACTCCTTGAAAGACGTTTTTGTAGAAAGGAATGATGTATCAGTCAGATTGTCTTTTGAAGTTTGAGTCTTGTTGCTTGGCAACCGCAGTTTTATTTGACCGCTATTTAAATTCGAATGAATAGAGGTGTTACCAAGCTGTTATTTTGATCCACGTTAATTGCAATCAAATTCATCTTTAGTGCAATCTTGTACTGACCGAGTTGTGAGAAAATGCGTTGGGAGGACGAATTGCATTTAAACTCTAAAACACGTCAAACCAGATCTGGTGAGAAGTAGGTTTGATAATGTGGCCCAAGCCACTTCTTCA